AACCACCACCACCCCACACCCGTACAATCTCTTACAATGGGCTTCACGACTGTGCACCTGGAAAGCCCCGCCCCTGCTCCCTTCTCCCCCAATAAATTGTTCCCTACCACCCCCCCACTGCAGCCATGCACCTCATGGCCGCGGGCTTCTCCACAGTGTATCTGAACGAACGCCTCGTATTCGGCCTCGCACCCCCCCTCCCCCTCCCCCCAACAAAGCCTGACCACCACCACTCTCCAGCCATGCATTTCTTCACGACGGGCATCACCACCAAACGTTGTCAAGTGCATGCCTGCACCTGGAACAACCCCCTACCACCCACCACCCCCTTCACCCCAAACCTGCAGCCATGCACCTCATGGCCGCGGGTTTCTCCACCATGTACCTGAACGAGCGCCTCGTCTTCGGCCTCGCGCCCCCCGACATCGCCGGCGTCTTCTCCCAGCGCCTCCGCTGGGCGATGGGCGCGCTGCAGATCCTGCTGCGCCGCAATCCCCTCGCCGCGCCGGGGCTGACGCTCGCGCAGTCGCTGCTGTTCTTCGAGTCGTGCGCGTACCACTTCCTGGCAGCTTCCACCGTGCTGACGTCGCTGGCGCCGGTGCCGTTCCTGTTTTTGGGCGCCTCCCCGCTGCAGTGCGACAGCCTGTGGGTGAGCCGCGGCGCGGGGCGGCGGGCTGCTGCCGCTCGAGCCCTCGGGCGCCGGCTGACCAGGGGGGTGGAGTGGCCAGTAGCCCATTTTCAGCCGACTGATTACGGATTACAGTGCCTCATACGTACCAGCAGTCATCCAGCCTGTTGGCCGACGGGTGGGCCCGCCCGCCTCGCAGCTTTTTCCCCAGTGCTCATCAGCCATCACAGACAGAGGTCTGACGTCGGCGCGTTATGAGCGTCGAGCATACCTGTTTCTGCCAGGCCGAAACTTCACCAGCCCACCCTGGCATGCGCCCATGCATGCCCTGATGCAGTGCTGTACAACCACTCCTGGGTGTCTGAGAGGCCTCTTCAAAACCCTAATCCCCATCTACCTGTTCTCTTTCAGGAGTTCACCATTGCTTTCGGCACTTTCTACGCCCTCAACCGGCTCATGCTATTCATGGCCCACAGGGGCACAGAGGGCGCGATGCTGGAGATGTGGCGCGGCTCTCAGACCTGGGTGGGTTAATGCGCAGCCCGTGCTGCCATGCACACACCGTTGGGTGTTTGTTCACAAGTTGCATGCATGCAAGCGTGCGCGTCATGTGGTTTGGGAAGCTAGCCAGCTGCATGCATCTGCTTATGACTGCTGCTTTTGTTGCGACTGCTGGACGTGCAAGTGCCACGCACCACGCGTGTAAGGGTTTTCAAAAGCGCTCCGCAAAAACACGCCCGCCCCAGCCTCGCACGTGCCTGCAGCGGCATGCCTCACGCCTGGCCTCGACTTCCCCTTTGTCCCTCGTGATCTGTGATGATCTGTGATCACGTGATCACACCCCAGATCTGGATGAGCCCCAACCACCTCAAGGCTGTCTTCAAGGTCGTGCTGGCCGAGAGCGGCCTTCCCTGGTGGCTGGGAGGCTCGTCCAAGGTTAGGCCTCGCAGGCGCTGGCGGGGCGCACGGGGTAGTCACCCATCACCCAACAGCTAGCTGGGGAGTTGCGCCTTCTGCAAGAGGCCTGATTGTTGCCGATTCCGCGTTTCTCGTTTGCTTAGGCCATTTAGCTCAGATAGCTTCCAAGGTTTGCCAAACCCCAAAACAAATCCAAGTGCAACGGTATATTCTACTCCCTCGCTGCTGTGGGCGCCCCGCCAATTTAGATCACTTTTCAGGTGACGGCCAAGACCGACGAGTCAGACGGCGACGCCGGCTACTGGTCCAGCGCGATCAGGATCCTCAGAATTATATGGCCCCACGTGACTGTGTACGTGCTCTACGCGGCCTCCGCCCTCTACTTTGTCGTGCACGCATCGCTGACCAGGCGCGTGCGCGCATGCACGGGCCTGGCCGCTGTTTTGGTGCTGCTGAAGGGGACGGCCAGACGGGGCGGGTCCTTGCGCATGCAACATTTGGGGCCAGCACTCCCTGGGCCAAACGCGGGAAGTCAAGCGGGCACCAGCAAGTGGTGCCGAGTCCAGCATCCTGTGCCGGCCCATCAAATCGATCCAGAGTCTTCAGGCCGGAATTTGATCAAGAACGCGTCCCTCAACCTTGGACGGTCGCCACCCCACAGGATCCCGCCGGTCGACCTCTGTGTGTATACAGCAACCCTCGCCTGGGGCGCCCTTATAGTCATGAGCCTCTGGCCCCCAGTATCAACACTCCTCCCCCGCCGCGAGACCGAGCGCGGCTGGGAGATCGAGTGGGGGGCCTTCATGTCGATGCCGCGGCGCAGGGCCGGGGCCGGGAAGGCGGGCGCGGCGGCGTGGGCCCGCGGCACGTGGCGCAGCTTACTGCGGCTGACGGGCGGCGGCGGCAGCGGCGCCGTTGGCGCCGCGACCGTCGGCGGTGCTGCCGGCTCCGCGACCGTCGAGCTGCCGCCGGCCGCCACGTGGGCAGCACCCAGGGCCCCTGCTGCGGGCACGCTTAACGCCAGCAGCCGTGGCTCAATGCCACCCCCGCAGGCGGCCGCAGCAGGAGCGCCGCCGCTGTCTTTCACAACGGCAGCAGGGCGCGGCGCCCTCGCACAGCACCCGGCGGCGGGCCTGAGCAGGTTTTCGCGGGTGGCGCCCTGCCCCCTGGAGGAGGCGCCGCAAGCAGCCCGCACGGCTGGCCGCGGTGGTGCCAGCAGTGACGCCGGCGGGCTGGCGGACGGCGGTCATATGTCATCCACGGAATTCGAATGGTCTGACGTGATGCAGGCTTCCCCAGACGACGCCGTCCTGACGCTGCCCGCGCCGGGCCGCGGCACCTTCGGCGTCGATTACGCCGACGCCGTCGCAACCTCGGGCGACCACGACCGAGGGAGGTACAACCTCGGACGCGTGGGCATGCCGCAGCGGACACTGTGGTCACGCAAGAGCACTATAGACGTACAGAAGCTGATTAACGAATGTGATCGGGCGCTGCAGCCGTCAGGCCTGCTGGATAGCAACAGTCACCACGACCACCCTTTTGCTTACGGAGAGGGCGGCTGGCCGCCCGGGCAGATCCCCGGGTCCCGGCCGCACACGCTTACTCAGCAGCTTGAGTCGCTGCTGCGACAGGCGGACGCCGGCGGCACGCCGGACGTCTGCGCGAGCGCTGCGGCCGCGGACGGGCGGGGCGCGTGGCGGCCGGCGGCAGGGCCTGCGGGGGCGGAGCTGCAGTGGGGTGCGCAGCAGCAGCCCGCCGCTCGGCAGCGCCACCAGTATAGCGGCGAGCCCGCCAGCACCGGCATCTACGGCCCCCCTTGGCAGCAGGCGTCAACCGCCGCCTTGCAGGGGCCGGACGATGCACAGGGGCCGCGCGTGCAGCCGCGCGCCGCCCCCTCAATCAGGCCGGCAGCCACCGGGCCCCTGCTGCGGTCGGCCGGCGGCTGTGGGGGCCCCTTGCTAAGCTCGACCGCGCAGCTCGGCTCGGGCCTTTGGCGCTCATCCCTACAGCTCACTGCCCAGCGGCGCCCCGGCGACGGGGAGCCCTTCGCAGCCGTCGGCGGCGACTTCTGGGGATCCCTTGTGCGCGCGGGCTTTGTGCACCCCACTACAGCCGTGCCATCCTTCGAAGGCAGCCTGATCAGGGGCGCTGCGCGGCCTGACCCCGCAGACGGCGGCGCCGCGCACCACATCGCGGCGCGCCCAAACTTTGCGCGGCGCCGCCTGCCGGCGGGCAGCTATACTTATGTCATAATGAACGTGCTCGTGCTGGTCGTGCTGGTGGCGGGGTCGGTGCTGGACGCGGTTTTGAGGGGCCGGCAGCAGCAGCAGCAGCGGTAGCAGCAGGGGGCGGCGGGCTGCGCAGCAACGGCAGCAGCAGGGGGTGGCGGGAGCAGCAGCAGCGCCCGCAGCAGGGGACGGCGGCAGCAGCAGCCGCGGCGATGGCGGCGCCGGCAGCATCAGCAGTAGCAACCGCAGCAGGGTTCGGCGTGCTGAGCGCGTTGGCCATGTATGTGTGCCCAGATCTGATAGGTTTTGGGGCTGGTCACGGGGGCCCCTGCTCTCCACTGTGTGTGCAGCGTATGCTATGAACAAGTACAACCACTGAATGGGTGAGGACGTTTTTGTCGTAACCTGCAGACGCGACGCACATCACAACTCCTCAGAAGGAAACCTGGCAGCTGCTGAGTAGGTCAGGTTGGCTGATCACGGACGGCGAACGTGGCGCATCCAATTTACACAATCATTGCAAAACCACAAAACATGCATACATTCAAGATCAAGCGCACAAACCTGGCTGCATCAAAGGCTGTGTACCCTGGTGCTGCCACCAAACAGTGCGTCAGATATAAATCGTTGTTCGCCTCGCGCCCATGAGGATATTTGCCGGCATTGAACACATCAGCGGATGGCCAGGGTTGAAATTGGTTTGAGGTCTGAGGGATTAAAAATTGGCAGCGCTTGCGCGGCGATTGGTCCAGGATAATGACGTGGCATTGACAAAGTAAAAGCACAGATAAAACCTTCGGATTCCATTGAGTATTGCGATAGACTGGGTGGCAGACAGAACACAAAATGCAAAACACTACAGGCATTGAGTCAACAAAACGCATTCAATGTCCAAGATGTCGACACTGACAGGCATAGAACTGGAGCCGTAGCAAGCTGAAAATTTTGCAAACATGTTGCCTTTGCAAAGCAATAAGTAATGTGGGCATCAGCTGACGGGCGATCAGTGCGGCGCCAGCATTGGCCTTTCAAAAGGTTTGCCGTCCCTTCAATTGCAGCCGGTTGATCATCCATTATGATGGCCTGCGCAGCTTCCTGCTGTGAATAAGTATGTCCTTACACAAGCTTTCTTGACGTGCCGTCAAAACAAGATTCCAGACACGAAGTCCCCCCACTGAACGCGCTGCCAGTCCAAGGCAGCATCGGTGGGGGCCTGGCAGTGGGTGGCCCTGGTTGCCAGTGCACGGGGGCGGTTTGGGCATTTGTTTGCAGGTGGGTTCGGACGTATGTGGAAGCGCCATGCGGCCGACTTCAGGCCTTGCATTGGCGACAGGAGTCCTAATTGTGGTGGCACTTCTCGGTGAGAATCACTGACAATGTAATCTGTAGGAACCTGGCGGGTATTCAACAGCTCACAGACCTCGGAGAGCCGGCGAAGTGGGCCCGGAGCTGCCCGCGCGGCTCTGCACCATCGTCACATAGGCCGCGAAGACCTGCCGTGGAAGTGCGAAAGACACGCACGAAACCGTCGGACAGGATTCAGGGGTCCGCCAGCAGCGCAAGGACGTGTGCTTGTGCTGCGCATCCTGGCGCGCCGAAGCGCCAGGATGCGTCATCGTACCCCGTTCCGGCGCGTCGTCACTTTTTCAACCCACGGGCCCAGGCGGTGCCGTCAGTGCAACCAACAACGGGCTGTTTGTGTGGACAGCCCTTGCTGTGGCTCTTGGGTGGGGCAGCCGGGGCCTGTGGAGGACGGACAAACACTGATAAGTGCGGGGCGTTGGCTGTCAAGGTTGCGGGGCCCACCTGGGTTGGGCTGGGGATGAAGGGCCAGGCCAGAATGCACATTTGTGTGATCTGATGCTCCTGCAGGAGATCCAGCAGGCTCCATGACATAATGCTCCTGCAGAGATCAGATCATGGGGCGCCTCACTTGATCAGACGGAGAGAACGGCACGCAAGAATTGTAACGCGATAAAGCAGGGGGCCAAAGCACGACAGAGCATGATGGCAACATCGACGGCGCGTGCGGGCGTGCGTGTTTCCTGACGCGTTGCCTTTTGCAGTTGGACGGTTTGGCTGCAAACTGCAGACCGGCTGGCACTCAGTGCCGCGTCCTGCGCCACCGCTTTGCATCCCAACAGCAGCAGCCAAGTGACCCGCGCCCCCGGCGAAACCAGGCCGGCGGGGCAATCGTGGCGGCACCGCTGCAGGGCGCGGCCCACCATTGCTCGTTCTCCCGCGCCTGCGGCGGTCAATGGGCGCGCGGCGGGCGGGCGGGATGTTGTGTGTGTTTCCGGCACATTCGATCAGGCGGGAACGCTGGCGATTCGCGGGGAGGTTGTGGTGGGGGCGGGGGCGCAGATCACCCGATAGTGGAAGATCACCTGCATGCACCAACAGAAACCTCCCCGCACGCCCTGCCGCATACACAAAATACCCACAGAACCACCCGGGTATCCACAAAACCACCAGGGCCTTGAGTGAACGGACAGTGGAC